AAAGATATATTTTTAAAATACAAACAATGGATTATTTTAAACAATCACTGTTTATGATTATGTAAGATTCTTATTTTATGAAGACAGTTCAATCAATATAATGTTGTTTTCATTCACTTTCGGAAATATGACAGTTGGATCATATACTTATCATACTTCAATTATGTATTCGCCTAAAACCAACACGATATATTGCTAATATAGCCATATTTACACCATCGATATAAATCAAAACATCACACAAATTAAAATCGAATGCATTGGATATATCGCTCTTAATTTGTATGAAAACATAAATGTTGTCCTATTTAATAAAATAGTTTTAAATGAAATCAATCAAGTCACTATTAGTGAAAATGGGATAAGCTATGTATTTAAAGAAAAAGTTAACAGAAACAATGTTATTTAAATTGTCATTTAATTAAAGTGGCTCAAAATAATTTGAGTTGTGTTATATGTGATTTACAGCATCAACTTGTGAATGGGAAATGTCTTCATTTCGACAATAATTGTGACAATTACAACAAAAACAACAAATGTGTATCATGTCAATGCAGGGTTTGTTTTGAATGAAAGTTACGAGGGTGTTTATTCTGAAAATTGTTTATATGGTACACCGACAACTTGTTACAAATGTCGTGATAGTTACATCAAAAATAAAAACGAATGTGTGTTGGATGACAAGTGTGAGTATAGTGATGGAAGTATTTGCATCAAATGCAACACGGGAAATGTATACAACAAGTGTGAGAACTGCGCAGCACATTGTTATTTATTTGAGAACGAAAAGTGTTTGATATGTAATGACATTTTTTTATTAAATAATGAAAATGTCTGTGTTGAAGTAGAAAATAAAATTTCAAATGGCATATTAACTGTTCGGTGTAATGACACATTTTATATTGCAAATCGTATTTGTAACAACTGTACATCAAAATATGAACACTCAATGTTTTGTTTTTTAAGTAATACAATTTTGTGTAAAGTAGATTATAACATTTTAAACAATAAAATCTGCATTTCATCAATTTGTCAAAATGAAACATCAATTGAAGAAAATAGGATGTGTAATTTACTTAAAGCAAATTGTGTATTTATTGTAAACAATAAATGTGTTGAATGTGAAAATAACTACATTGTTGATGTTAAAAAAAACATGTGTGAGTGTTACAAATGACACTTTGTCAATTGATTGTGTTTTATATAATAAATATGGATGCATATCATGTGACATTGGATATTATTTGTCAAATACAAAATGTCGTCAATGTTCCGAGAATTGAGCAAATTGTACTGGCTTTAAAACAAAGTGTCTGTCATGTAAGTATGGGTATTATCAATGAGATAATTACACGTGTTTTTTAAGCACAGAATTGTTAAAAAAAGTGCGACAAAATATCACAAATTATGGGTGGTTAACAATGCAAAAACGGGTATTACAGAGTTGGAATGGATTGCATTGAATGTCTTTTGAATTGCTCGACGTGTAATACAAAAGACACGTGTTTGACTTGCAATTTGACAAATTACAAAACACAAAGTGGAAATTGTTTGCCACAAAACAGTGTCATTGGCTGTGCTGTCGAAGTCACACAAAATGGGTGTTCTAAATGTCAAGATGGGTATTACACAGTCAATTACATTGAGTGTGAGAGGTGTCATGGCAACTGCACAACATGCACACAACCCTAAAATGTTCATCCTGTGTTAAAAACAAAGTTTTATTTAAAAGTGGACTTTGCCTTGACATTTCATTTATATCAAAATGTCTTGCTGTCTCAAACTCTAGATGCTCCAAATGCACATTTTGGAACTCTCCAAATGATAATGGGACTTTGTGTGACAAGAAAATAGTTTGGTGGGTACTTCTCATTGTTATTTTGTTTGCCATTTTCATGATAATAATATTTATATTGTTATTTGTATTAACAGTGAAATACATTGACAACAAAATGCATCACAAAGAAATTGCAAAGACAACAACATTCTTTAAAATGAGTCGCTCAAACAACACATTTATTCAACTTGGTGATGACGTTGTTGTTAATAAAACTGAACTTAACTTTGGTGATCAAATTGATGTCAACATACAACAGCGAGAACTTCTATGTGTTGGGAACATATCAAAGCACAACATGAAAATTCAAATGACAACATAAAGTGCAACAATTAAAAAATACTAATTTGACTCAAATCCAAAAATAATATGTTGCCAAGTGGCGAAGCGTGCGAATTTGAGATACTACTGACTTTGAAATGTACTACTAAAATGGATGAGAGTGTTGTGTTAGTCGCAAACTCGTTCACAAAAATAGATGATGTCATTAAGAAATTAACAATAACAACAACTTCAAAACTGATAACACGACTTGATCCAGACGAGTTGGTAGAGGATAACATACTTGGTGAAGGATCTTTTGGAATTGTTTACAAAGGGATTTTCAGAGAAAATATTGTTGCAATTAAAAAGATGAAATTATGTGGTATTGAAGACACAATTGAAGAATTTGAAAAGGAAGTGAATATGTTGGACAAATTTCGGTATAAGTACATCGTCTACTTCTATGGCGCAGTTTTGTACCAAACAAGACGTGTATGGTCACCGAATTTGCAATATGGAAGTTTACAAGACTTGATAAAACACAAAACAAGTGAAGAAGTTGACATGAAACTGAGAGTAAAATAAATGTGAACGCAGCGAATGGTATTTCATATTTGCACTCAAATGGGATTTTACACAGAGAATATCAGCCCAGATAATATCATGTGGTCTCATTTGATTT